TTCTATATGCTCGTTAGTACAGTAAATAAAAAACACACAGCAAGAAAAAAATAATTTATTACAAAATCTACTATACCACGATGTAACTCCAGCATCAGTCATGCGGTTCAGCGAAGTAGACCGAGTGTCAGTCACAATAAGCGATTCTCGAAAATCTCATGACACTACAATGCTGCTCTTCCCTACTTCTGTTGTAAAGGGCAGTTGTCCTGTGCTGCTAGAATGTAAACAGCAGAGCCTGGAAGCCTTGGTGCCATCCATGATCAAATATGGTCATGTCCCAATTTGGTCAGTGACATAACCCAGGATCCATGTTGATTTGTTAACAATTTGAAACAAGCTAGCAGGAATCTGTCATTTAGAGGCAGTAGTGATACCACCGCTAAATTAAAAACTTCTGGCTGCATCAGCTGAGGTTTGGGCAGGCACGTGAACTTACCAAATCTGTCCAGATTGTTTGCCCTTTTACAGAACCGCAAACAAGTTGGGTTTGGGTTGAACTCAAGCTCATCCCTAATGTCAGTCATAGAAAGCCAACCTGAAAGGAGACAATATTTGCTATGCTCTCACTTTGTAAAACCTATATAAAGTATACAGTCAGGTCCATAAATATTGGGACATCGACACAATTCTAACATTTTTGGCTCTATACACCACCACAATGGATTTGAAATGAAACGAACAAGATGTGCTTTAACTGCAGACTGTCAGCTTTAATTTGAGGGTATTTACATCCAAATCAGGTGAACGGTGTAGGAATTACAACAGTCACATGATCCCTAAACCACGCCCCACCCGCCCCGCCTCTCTGCGTCTGAAACTCTTAAAGGGCAGGGAGGTGCTGGCGGGAAGGGGTTAACTTATGATGTAACCATGCATAGAACATTCACTTTCAGGTGTGAACTAAAATATTGACTACACATCAATTTATTGACTACACCAGCTTATTAGCAGTGAGAATGTCACTGCACAATGGGTTACAAAGCTTGCTATGACAAGTTTTCTACCTGCCAATATTTTCTATACAATGAACAAGTTTGAGTAAAACACAGAAAAATTCTCCTAACTCATGCAAATTAATATTGTCCTTGTTCAAAACGGTCATATATGTCATTAGGTCATCAACACACCTTTCCTGAACGGGAAATACTTCTGAATGGAGATGCCACAGAAGGGATTACTGATTGTCAAAAAGCATCTTATCCACCTTGATAACCAAGATACCAAACACTTGTGTAAGGGCAAGATATAACAACAGATATTTATTTTTTTCAGTGTTCATATTAATACTGGTATTGCTAAATTAATTTGGCAGTGTGAACCCAAACTGACCTGATTCAGCAGTTTTGACCCAGAACTATTTTATGTACACTATATTCAAAAAATGTGATACATAAATTCAACCACAAATAATAGTCTACCCTCAAACTAATAATAAATAATAAATAAATTCACCACCACGTGTGTGCACAAATTAATAAATCAGTGAAAATAAAACATAAAGAATCCTCATAGAGTCCATTCAGAAAAGTCCATACATCAATGAATATGATCCTCAGTAAATGAAGCGATGAAGTCTTCCATCACCAGTGTAACCTCCAGTGCTTAAACACCCCAGAATATCCAGCGTATCTTTGTATCTCCAACACTCCACAACTGAGCTCCAGCTTATAGATATCCAAAGCACTCCATATAGTACATGTAGATAGAAAGAATACTAACCATAGTGCAATAACGTTTATAAAAATGTATTGCAACAAACCCCACATAAAACCGCACTCACAATGAGTCCAAAAAATCAAAAAAATCAAGCATTTGTTATCACATAAGAGCATCCAGCTAACCACGCCCTAACACCTTTACCTCAGAAGAAGTCGTATGACGAAACGCATTAGAGCGTGGTTAGCTAGTGACGTTACCATGCACGCCAACCCACGTGTCCGAACCACGTGATCGCAACAATGCCATCTTGGTTGCGGGCAGGCTGGTGAGACGCTGTGGCGAGAGCTGGATGCTCTTATGTGATAACAAATGCTTGATTTTTTTGACTCATTGTGAGTGCGGTTTTATGGGGGGTTTGTTGCAATACATTTTTATAAATGTTATTGCACTATGGCGAGTATTCTTTCTATCTACATGTACTATATGGAGTGCTTTGGATATCTATAAGCTGGAGCTCAGTTGTGGAGTGTTGGATATACAAAGATACGCTGGTTATTCAATCAATCAATAAGCTCCTATGTTGAAACCCTACACACAAAATCACAACTTTCTCCCTAGAAAGTATACAATCTAATAAATCCTTTTTTGTGATACACATAAATCCCCAAAAATTATCTTTACACTCAATAGATGATATAGATATATAAAAAAAAATATATGAAAATTATGTATAAATAAACCCAAAAATGTCCAAAATCCCAAACAAAATATTTTCTTTCAATCCAGTGATGCAGAAATTGGTGCTAAGACTCCAAGATTACCTCAAAGAAAAATAGAAAAAAGAAAATACATAGTGCATTACCCTTTTCAAAAATTATATATATATACCTCACTCCGTGCACAACACAAAAACACACTCAAACTCATTTTTGTGCAAAATAAATCCACTATATATCTTAATCCAAAATTAAATAAAAATAAATAAATAAATAAAGTAAAATAAGTGAACCCAAAACGTGAAAAAACGTGATCACTCCACGAGTGGAGTGATCACGTTTTTTCACGTTTTGGGTTCACTTATTTTACTTTATTTATTTATTTATTTTTATTTAATTTTGGATTAAGATATATAGTGGATTTATTTTGCACAAAAATGAGTTTGAGTGTGTTTTTGTGTTGTGCACGGAGTGAGGTATATATATATAATTTTTGAAAAGGGTAATGCACTATGTATTTTCTTTTTTCTATTTTTCTTTGAGGTAATCTTGGAGTCTTAGCACCAATTTCTGCATCACTGGATTGAAAGAAAATTTTTGTTTGGGATTTTGGACATTTTTGGGTTTATTTATACATAATTTTCATATATGATTTTTTTATATATCTATATCAATCTATACGCTGGTTATTCACCAGCTTTTGGTGAGTGTGCAATTTGATGGGGTGTTTAAGCACTGGAGGTTACACTGGTGATTGTCTGCATGCCTAGGTGCTTTATTTTATACACCTGTGGCCATGGAGGTGACTGGAACACCTAAATCCAATGATTTGGAGGGGTGTCCCAATACTTTTGGCAATATAGTGTACTTGTGAATCATTAGCCAGGGCAATTCCTATTGATAATGTTTTTGCTATTTATAATACAGCAACATATAATTTATTTAAAGATGAACTTCCCTCCTATAAAAAAATACCACAAAGGCACCTTTAGAAATGTTTATTAATGGCAATCTACAAACAGATACTTATAAAGAGATGCAGGCTTTTTAATTAATTGTATGCCTTATTTCTCTATTGCTTCTGATTATTCTCACAATGGCCATTTTTTACTGAGGGCAGATTAATTCATCTCCCTTTACTTCCTGGAACTCTGCCTGGAACTCTGGGTCTGACAGAAACTTGTAGATTCTTTATTCTTTATTCTGTGAACTACTAATTTCATCATTCCTAATGTAATTGAGATGAACAAACACGGACATGTTTGAAGTTAAATCTATGTGGAAGCCATGGCTTCATCCATGGACACAGTGGAAGAGTGAGTATAGACACCCAGGAACAGAAAGTAAGTTGTTTGCAGGATTGTCAGGTGGAAATAAAGGAAAAAGGCCTGAAAAAACAAAGCTAATGCAGCCACCCCATGTAAGGACATGTAAACTGTAATATATTAAAAGTGGTTGTAAAGACTCAAGGTTTTTTATCTTCATGCATTCTATGCCCCATCTCGATTCAGTGATGTACACGAGAGCCTCAGCTTTCCTGGGTCTCTCCCTACTCCTCATTGGCTGAAACAGCAGCAGGAATCATTGGCTGCTGTCAATCACAACCAGTGAGCCATTCAGGAAAGAGTGGGGGCAGGGCCAAGCCTCAGCTGTGTTTGAATGGACCCACAGAGCAGAGGATCAGGAGTGACCCTGCTCGGGTGCTCATATAGCAAGCTGCTTGCTGTGGAGGCACTTGGCAGAAGGGAGGGGCTAAGAGCACAAGAAGAGAAGGACTGGGGCTGCTCTGTGCAAAACCACTGCACGGAGCAGGTAAGTATGACATGTTGGTTATTTAAAAAGAAAAATATCCTTTACAATCACTTTAAAATTTGTTTTTTGTTTTTTTTTTGGAGGGGAAGGTTTAGAAAGGCTTTAAGTACCGTATTTTTCACTCCATAAGACGCACTTTTTTCCCCCCAAAAAAGGGGGGAAAATGTCAGTGCGTCTTATGGAGCAAATATAAAGCGGCCGGTCCGGTATTTCCGCCGCCACCATATCAGAATACCGGGCCGGCCGCTCAGCTGTTCTCTGCTGCAGGACCTTACCTGTTCCTCGGTCCAGCGCTGCACAGTCTTCCCGCGCCGGCTTCTTCCCACGCCGACATCTGTGACAGCCGGGTGCCCACTGTGCATGCGCGAGAAGCGCTGCGCTTTGTGAATAGTCCTGCATCTTCTGGGACACATGACAGGTCCCAGAAGACACCGGGCCATTCACAAAGTCCAGCTGTCACAGCCGGGTGCCCACAGTAAAGGGAGGACAACTCCGCGGAAGTGGGAGCGAGTACCTGTCAAATTCAGGTACCCGCTCTCCCTCCCTCCCTAAAGGTCCGCAGTCTCTGGCCATCATCTGTACTGTCTGCAGTCTCTGGTCATCCCCTGTACTGTTTGCAGTGTCTTGATCATCCCCTGTACCGTCCGCAGTCTCTGGTCATCCCCTGTACTGTTTGCAGTGTCTTGATCATCCCCTGTACCGTCCGCAGTCTCTGGTCATCCCCTGTACTGTTTGCAGTCTCTTGATCATCCCCTGTACCGTCCGCAGTCTCTAGTCATTCCCTGTACTGTGTCTGCAGTCTCTGGTCATCTGTACTGTGTCTGCAGTCTCTGGTCATCTCCTGTACTGCAGTCTCTGGTCATCTCCTGTACTGTGTCTGCAGTCTCTGGTCATCTCCTGTACTGTGTCTGCAGTCTCTGGTCATCTCCTGTACTGTGTCCGCAGTCTCCAGTCATCTCCTGTAGTATGTCCGCAGTCTCTGGTCATCTCTTGTACTGTGTCCGCAGTCTCTGGTCATCTCCTGTACTATGTCTGCAGTCTCTGGTCATCTCGTGTACTGTCCGCAGTCTCTGGTCATTCCCTGTACTGTGTCCGCAGTCTCTGGTCATCTCCTGTACTGTGTCCACAGTCTCTGGTCATCCCCTGTACTGTGTCCGCAGTCTCTGGTCATCTCCTGTACTGTGTCCGCAGTCTCTGGTCATCTCTTGTACTGTGTCTGCAGTCTCTGGTCATTCCCTGTACTGTGTCCGCAGTCTCTGGTCATCTCCTGTACTGTGTCCGCAGTCTCTGGTCATCTCCTGTACTGTGTCCACAGTCTCTGGTCATCTCCTGTACTGTGTCCGCAGTCTCTGGTCATCTCCTGTACTGTGTCCGCAGTCTCTGGTCATCTCCTGTACTGTGTCTGCAGTCTCTGGTCATGTCCTGTACTGTGTCCGCAGTCTCTGGTCATCTCCTGTACTGTGTCCGCAGTCTCTGGTCATCTCGTGTACTGTGTCCGCAGTCTCTGGTCATCTCCTGTACTGTGTCCGCAGTCTCTGGTCATCTCGTGTACTGTGTCCGCAGTCTCTGGTCATCTCCTGTACTGTGTCCGCAGTCCCTGGTCATCCCCTGTACTGTGTTCGCAGTCTCTGATCCATCTCCTGTATTGTGTCTGCAGTCTCTGGTCCATCTCCTGTACTGTGTCCACAGTCTCTGGTCATGTCCTGTACTGTGTCCGCAGTCTCTGGTCATCTCCTGTACTGTGTCCGCAGTCTCTGGTCATCTCGTGTACTGTGTCCGCAGTCTCTGGTCATCTCCTGTACTGTGTCCGCAGTCTCTGGTCATCCCCTGTACTGTGTTCGCAGTCTCTGGTCCATCTCCTGTATTGTGTCTGCAGTCTCTGGTCCATCTCCTGTACTGTGTTCGCAGTCTCTGGTCATCTCCTGTACTGTGTTCGCAGTCTCTGGTCATCTCCTGTACTGTGTTGGCAGTCTCTGGTCATCTCCTGTACTGTGTCTGCAGTCTCTGGTCATCTCCTGTACTGTGTCCGCAGTCTCTGGCCATCTCCTGTACTGTGTCCGCAGTCTCTGGTCATCTCCTGTACTGTGTCCGCAGTCTCTGGTCATCTCCTGTACTGTGTCCGCAGTCTGTGGTCCATCTCCTGTACTGTGTCCGCAGTCTCTGGTCCATCTCCTGTACTATGTCCGCAGTCTCTGGTCATTTCCTGTACTATGTCTGCAGTCCATTGGTTCAGAATATTTTTTTTCTTGTTTTTCTCCTCTAAAACCTAGGTGCGTCTTATGATCAGGTGTGTATTATGGAGCGAAAATTAGGGTACACCTTTTATGAGTACAGGTTTACTTTAAATGTATTTTTCTATGCAGCTGTAATCCCATGTACAGCACAGCTCAGACTGGAAGAGGACCATCATGTTGAGCCCATCAGTTGTGTTGTATTGTACAGGAAACATGCTCACAGGTGGAAAGAACTGCTTGAGCAGAGGAATTATTACTGCTGCTCCTAAGCTGTACAGTCAGCAGGCGGATGGTGCTGCTGCAACGGGGTTACAAATATAACTGTGCTGCCTGATATGGGTACTTGGATCACAAGACTGACAGAACAGAATTAGAACAGAGCAAATCCCTTGGAAGGTAACACAGTTCCCAAACATGTAATCGTTTTTGCGGCTAGTTGCCGGGAGTTCAGATTTGAAATGTTTGCTCCATGTTTCTCCAAATTTAAAACACAAAAAAATTACAAAATTGGAAGGTCTGAGATGGATTCCATACCACAATAGTTGTTATCACAAGAGATATTACCCTCTTCCACTTCACACACCGGCATCTTAAAGTACACTATATAAAACACCCTTCCCCCCAGCTAACTCAGCATTTTTTAAAAGAAAATAACAGATAAGGGGAGGTAAACATAAGACATAAGCATGAATGCAGAAAAACCCATAGAGCATTCCTTACTTCAGTATATTACATGGCTCCTTGAAACATTACAGCAGCCCAACTTCTCCAACATATGTTGCCTGCAGATAAGTGAGGAATCTAAATATGGAATGAAAATGTTAATTACTGCGGTAATACCATTACACCTCAAGTGAGCACATCCTATCGCTGAGCACTGTGACAATGGCAGGGGAAGGAGGGGAACACAGCACAACAAGCAAATACTAATCCCTGCTTGTTTATTACAAAACTCCAATTGTCTCCCAGCCCTGTCCATCTGAATAAGCCTCATCCCTGGCTATAATAAGCAATAACTGCTGATCAATCTGCAATGCCCTTCACACGATTTAGAAGCACAATCTCGCCGTGCCTCTTGTAAAGTCTATATTGTCTTGTACAATAATGTTTGCAAGACCATGTTAAGCCTCCGGGGCACTGATAGACCTCTGATTATCTACGGGGATGAGCAAGCTGTAAAATTACACTGCGACAGAGCGGCTGCATTCTCTGGCATTTTTTTACTAATGGGATAGAGACAAATCGGCGTGTAAATGTGCAAAACTCTACGAGTTTACCAATGCTGCATATTCATCTGGAGAATTACAGAGATTTATGAAGCTGGGAATTATTCACCAGTTCTTATTTATGGTAAATGTGTGAAGCACTGTTTCTTTTCAGTGAGGTTACATGAGTTAGTGTTACATTATGAAAAGCAGCTTTGCATTTACAAATAAAGCTTTAAAGAGCTTCACCACCATAATGGATTATGCTTTTAAAGAGGAACTTTACTACCCCTCTGCTTTTTTCTCCTACCTGTTCCCTCTTACCTGTGATGCTTGGTTTTTATCATGAAGTATGAGGCCAGAGCCAGTTGGTTGCTACCCAAGATGGAGGAAAGGGAGACTGAGACTGAGTTATTATTTGGTTAAGAGCAAGTAACAAATAGCAGGTGGAGAACAACAGCAAGGTTCTTGCTCAAAGTGGTTCTTCAGTGTGAAAAAAAAATAAAAATAAAAAGTCAGCAGCTACAAATACTGTAGCTGCTGACTTTTAATAAAAGGACACTTCCCTGTCTAGGGATCCAGCGCAATCCCTACCTAGGCTTTTTCTTTTCTAGTCTTTGGGTGCATGGCTCCAGCATCTATACCGAGGGAAGCCAGTTGTGACTTCTTGTGGCTTCACAGCCAGCTTCCCTTCATATGTGAGAGCCAAGCTGTGCTTTGTGTATGGTCCCACAGCCTTCTGGGACCTGTGACATGCCCCAGAAAGCTAACGGAAGGGATAGAGTGGGAGCGGGTACCTGTCAAAACCAGGTACCCTCCCCCACCAAGAAAAAAAAAAATATGCCAAAAATAGTAGAGGTGGGGGGAGGTGGCAGAAAAGTGGAACTTCCCCTTTTGGGTGAAGTTCCGCTTTACTAGTCTCAAGAAATTTTGGTATACGTGTCTCACTGAAACAGGCATCACAGGTGCAGAAGCTCTCAGCAATGTCGGGTCACCAGGTGCAGGCCGGATATTCCCCGTCGTCACCCGGCAATCGCCGAGGAACACTGACAGGCTTGTATGTTAACAATACAGATTTTGCAGCACAGTGGCTAAATGGTTAGCACTTCTGCTTGGCAGTACTAGGGTCATTGGTTCAAATCCCAACCACAGCACCACCTGCGTGGAGTTTGTATGTTCTTTTTGGGTACTCCGGTTTCCTTCCACACTCCAAAGACATGCTGGTAGGTTAATCGGCTGTCTAAATTAGCCCTAGTATGTGTATGTATGGATATAAGTTAGGGACCTTAGATTGTGCAACCCTTGAGGTTAGGGACTGATGTGAATGTACAAGATATATGTAAAGCGCTGCGTAAATTAATGGCGCTATATAAATACCTGAAATAAATAAATGTCTCCCCTGTCAGCACCAGCACGCTGCTTTGTATTGCTCTGCACAGAAGAGCAATACAAAGCAGCATACTTACACAGTAAAGTGCACACAGACAAAATAGCATACCAGCACACAGTTAACCCTTTGATTGCCCCAGATGTTAACCTCTTCCTTCCCAGTGTCATTAGTACAGTATCAGTGCTTTTTATTAGCACTGATCACTGTATTAGTGTCAGTGGGGATGTCAGTGGCAGTTAGTCAGTCCCCCCCCCCTGTCAGAGTGCCAGCCGCAGTCTTGCTATAAGTTGCTGATCACCGCCATTACTAGTATTAAAAAAAAAATAATGGCCTGGTTAGGAAGGGGGGGGGGTAAATCCTCTGGAGGGCAAGTGGTTAAAAATGAATTAAATTCTGCTCTTGGTTTGTGGTGCTCAGATACAATGTAGTTCTGCTTTAAGTCCCAGAGGTAGCAGACCTAGCAGAGGTATGCCTATTCTGTCCCTACTCATCAGGAACCTTTCCCTATGTCTAGATGAGCTGTCTGTATCCAGCATGGATCCTGTTCCTACACAATCTACTTTGGTAGTATGTGCGAACTGCAGCAGGGCAGTGCTATTTATCAGTATTGCTCTCACCAAAGATGGCTGCTGAGGAAATCCAGTGTTGCTGTGTCCAATCGGACCACTGCTCCCCTGGTAACACCTATGGAGGTTTCAGGGAAACAATTTCCTCTCATCCCCCATTCCCTCAGCACCACAGTGCCACCTACAGAAGGGAGGATAAACCACACCTGCCTACAAGCATAATCACCAGTCCAGTGGACTCAGAGTTGGACTATTGTGATCAGAGATACAGGGAGTGGGCATGCATTTGATCCCCTACCCAGACCTCATAGGTCAAATCTTCCCTTACACCCAGAAAGGCTAAGTTTGGCTTTCTATGTAAGCTACTTGTATCCCTGTCAGCTTATGTTAGCTTCCATTTTTTTAGTATGGATAATTTTGAAGAAGGCAAATGACAGCATATTTGCATACCATATAAGAGCTCCTTAATGGGAACCAATGGTGATAACTCACTCCAGTGACCACATAATGGAAAATAATGGCACCCAACTAGATGGGAACTGGAGCACAAAATCAAGCTTGCACTTATACTAGGAGGAACTTGGAAGAGAGAAGACCAGAAGCATTTTTTTTTACATTAAAAAGGCTTCCAGGGAAAATATTATTTTTTTCTGGAAAGAACGACCCCCCACCTATTGATACTAACCTTCCCTGTGGTTCCTCACAGCTCCATTACTCCATCTTAGCTGAGAGTCCTAAGCCTTGGTAACCACCATGTTGGAGTTTACTTAAGATTAATTACTTCCTCACTTTCCTCTGTTGATGGTGTTCAGGTC